CGAGCATCCAAGATACCTTGGGCACTATTCATAGAAGACAAGTAAAACTGGTTAATATTTGTAGGAGCTTACTTTACCATCCATTATTTCTATAAAGAGAAGCCTTGCATTTAATTGATTTTTATTTCTTTAGCGAGAGATAATACAAATCACTTGATTTTCCATAGTATCTTCTTACCTAAAACCTTTAGATTCCCAAATTTGCTGGCCTGGACTTAAGCCAAGATCTGGCTGTTTGCCTGTACAGTGGATTCCTCACTAACAGAGCTGCATTGTGCCACAGATACTAGTCAATTATGGCAGCTTTTTTCTACAACTGGGCTTGTAATCAATCAGGTCTTGGGCTACTACTAAATCACTGAGCAACTTAAAGACAGAATGGGGAATGCCGTTCCTCCAGACAGCTGGAAGCACAGAAAGTTCAAGGATGAAGTATAGCCATGTAGCATAAGCAAGGCCACACTGTATTTTGTGTCACTATCTCTCACACTGCTTTCCCAAGAGTGTAAACTGTCTCCTCCGTTGTGTGGGCTGAGATTCTTGGAGCCCTTTCTCTGACCTCGTGACCTGCTGCTATGCTCATTTTCCCTATGTGGCAATTACCACATGTCTCTCCACACTCCCTCCTGATGTCAGTCCCCTGACTTGGGCGGCAGCCTCCTCCTGTTACGGGCTGTCGACTCAGGGAAGGCTCGACTTCCACAGCCCCAGTCCCGCAGACTCAGCCCCTGCCCCATGCATGCGTGGCACTGCGCGAGCTCCACTTGACCGAAGGTCTCGAGGCAAACGAGCTGCGTTTTCCAAAAGTGGGGGAACCTGCTTGGCAACCTCAAACAGAAACACTAAAAACCAGAACTGTATTCCAGGTTTTACTCTGTTATTTTAGAAGCTAGCAACGTTTTAAATGACTATTGTGAGCCATACTTAATTTGTGTTAACATATTCAGTATTTTGCGTTTTTGTTCCTCATTGGGGTTTGTTTTTTCTGTGGTAATTTGTTTAGTGTGAGAGAAGTTTTATCTGATCTCTGACCCAGGGAAAGTGTGGTGGGGATGGTTGAGGAGAGGACGCAGGCTCACGCTGTGTCCGTTCTTCTCGTCTTTTCTCTGCCTTGGCTCCCAATAAAGTTTGGTAATCGGCCAGAGAAAGCTCTGTTTTCCTTCATTCCTATGAATGCCTAAAACCCTAAACCGAACCCAGGATTTTATACTATCAAGACTATGACAAATTTATATATTTAAAGTTCATTGTTCAGTAGTAACATGAATGATTCAAATAAAATAGTTTAGACTAGGGATTCAATGGACTCACAATAACCGCATTTCAATAGTACATAAGCCAAATGATGTGCAATGTGAGACGGACTGCTGTCCCATGAATGGCACGTTTTATTACTGCCTTGTGCCCATTGCTTGCTGGGACAGGCTCCAGCTCCCCTGCGGCCGTGAACTGGATGAAACAGTTACAGTAGAAACCTGATGGCTGAAGAAACTTTGCTTGTTGAGCAAAGGTCCTTGAATCAAAACAATACGCTCTTTCTTTTCTGTGATGAGGTGATCTACAGTATTTGTGGAATAAAGAAGACTGAGCTGAGCAGGCATCCAGGAAACATTCATTAATAGATGAAACCATGAACTTTTGACCTATTCCCTAGTACACAAAATTAACTATCGATTAAATGCGCAATCGATAACTTCAGACAACAGTCGCATGTGGAGATAATGTGAGTTGCAACGTCAGCACGAATATTACAGCCAGCCACGGCATTTCCAGAGTGGCATGACAGCATACACAATTTGAACTGAACTGATCTAATGATTTCACGCCCATAAATAATCACCCCAATGTGAGATGATTGGAATAAACAGAGGCAGAGTGTAAATCATTCAACGGTACACATTGATGTGCTTTAATTATCTCTGTTAGACAACAGAGATAACCTGGGAGAGACTCCAGCTCCCCCGCAATCCCATATTGGAAGAAGCGGTTAGAAAATGGATGAATGGATTGATACAATCCTGTGAGGTAGAGAGAGGCGGTTTTAAGAAAGAGTCACCTGCTAAGGAGAAAATCAGTTTAAAATGAGGCATTCCAGGGCTAATTAATTAACTGGCATCCAGGAAAGTGGCCAAGGTTCCCCACAGAGCCTATCCTATCTGCTCTTCTCTCTCATGTGGGATCTCACTTCCTCCAGATACCATTTGCCCAGGTGTGTCCCATTTTAACTTGGCTCCCTCAAATTCACCTCTTACTACCGCACAAATCTCATGCATTTCTTTAATCTTGATTCCACATTATACAGCATCTGTAAATTCACTTCTGATTGGTACCTTTAGAGTAACAAACAGGTGAACCAACAGAAGAGAAACTGAACAGGAGCAGCAGAACACTGCCCCAGTTCTACTCATGAAAGACACATTTGTTTACTAAAACACCAGTCTGCATCGTTCTGGTAACACTTGTGTAATTTTATTGCTAGCCTGTAATAACCTATTTACCCTTAAAGTATGCAACCGAGTTGTGATACATAACAATTACAACTTCACTTATGGCAGGGTCTTCTCAATTAGTGCACAATGCAAGTTATGACACTTTCTCTTTTAGGATACAATACAAAGCATGGACCTACCACAAGGAGAAGCCAGAAGCCAATAAACAAAAACATAACTAGTTACAACAAAAAGAAATATGCAGAATGTCTAGACATCCTACATCACCTGCAGTACATGGGTGCAGAAATGGATAGTGAAATTGAAAACAGTCCAAGTTTGAAAGAAAAGGAATTACTCATGCTTGCTCAATACTCAATTGTCCGATAGTGGTGAAGGCATTAGAGGTACTTAGAATAACTCACCTCTTAAACTCCCAGACATGATCCGGAACTGTAAATTGCACAGTAAATCCTGTTAATCTCATAGACGTGTTTTAAAAAATGGAAAAAGTTAGAGGCTAATGTTACTCTCAAAATTAGCATAGCATAGCATTTCTCAGGTATGTCACTTGAAGAAGGCTCTACAGCTAAAACGTGTTTTTCTTTTCTATTTTTCAATATGAAATTAATCTTTACCTGCAACATTTGTTTTAAAAATGCACCAAAATAATTAACCTTTCTGTGGCTTTAATTGTATGCGGCTGACATGTAGTTAGAAAGATTAGTTGGGTTTCTTTTGACTAGTTTTCAATAATTACATGAAAAGGACGTAGAAGCCGTTTTAGGACTGTACTTTTTAAATTTCAGATCAAGCTTAATTTAAAAATATTTTATAAAATATGTGAGCAATGTCAATCTTTCCAGCAGCAGGTTCACCAACTACATTGGTTCTAACATAGTACACAAATCTTTTGAATTCTTCTCCCATTTAAATTGTTCATTTTCCCTGTAATGTCAAGGATGTAAGTTGCAGAGGACATGTAGCTTCATCTATTCATCACTCAGAAAGAGACCATGCCCAATATTAGAAGCTAGGCATGTTGGCAATTCTCCTGAATGCTGAGACCAACATTGGTGTTCCTGATTCATCCCAAGCTAAACTCGGACATGCGACACTCACAAGGTTTGAAACTAGTTATTCCTAATTGTTCTGATCACTTTAGACGTCTGGTGCTTTTAGTTTTGCACGTTTGCTGTTCATGCAGTATACTGTTACAAATGTCAGCAGTCATTGCTTCAAAAAATGTGGATGACATTTAGGGAACGCTACTTGAAAGTACATTTAAAACTGAGAGCAGGAAGAACTTCTTTATGCAAATGGTCATGAGGGTTTAGAACAAGCTACCCGGACATATTGTTGAAGCCAGAACCCTGGTTCCTTTCAAGAAATGGTTGGATAAGATTCTTGGGTCAATTCGATTCTAATTCCCAAACAGGCTTTATGGGCAGAGTGGTCAGTTTTGGTCTGTAAACCTTAGGATGTGATCTGCACATCATTTTCAATGATACTGTACATCAAAGACTGAAGTTTAGCTTAAAAAGAAGAAACACCTACTACATGCATGTATATATGACTATGACATGTGACATGTGACATACAGTACCTTATGACCTTTCTAATTTAAAGTATTTATTGACTGGAAATGTCTTGTAAAGCATTAGGTTCTTAGGTCAGATGCTTCACTTGTGACCTCTTTGTCCTCTTTCATCAACTTTACTGTGATTACGTATTATAAACACTAATAACCAAGGAGGAACTATGGTACAAAAAAGAGGAATGGAAGATTAACTCTTACTGGATGTCCTAGTTGTAGTCTTCAAAATAATCTTGGACTACTGGAGCTTAAACTTTACTGGGATCTTCCTCAAATTATATCTACATTTTACTTTGACGAATGGGATGGTTGTGAATGCATTACAATACACCATTGTACAAGTCTCGAGTCGACAGATATGGGAACGTTGAAGGTTATATTCTTATGTATTTCATAGCTTTTGAAATGGCAAAATTCCTGCTTTAATGTGTGTAGGAAAATACAGATGGCTAAGATATTAAGAGTGCAAATACAAAAACTAGACAATTAAAGTTACTGCTGACTCTTTTGATGTTAATGGTGACAACACTTGCAAAGGTTTGCACTTGCAAATTTTGGCAACTTCAAATCATTTTCATTCATACATTTATGTACTGTGTAACTAAGTATTTCTGGCAATATTCCTGTTTGAATCCCAAAGTTTTGACTGAGTTTGACAGACATAAAACAGTACATCTGTTTGATGTATCCAGTTCCCTTGTAACTAATGGAAAACGTTACCGAATAGGAAAACACACATCTTATTGCAATGTGCAGAATTATCTACTGAAGAACAACTTAATACTCTTTTTCACTTATTGTGGTCTATTAAGAAACAAAGTGTATTAATATACAGTATACCGTCTTGGCCTCCTCAAGGTCGGACTTAATACACTACACATTTGCATTCTGTGAAGTAATAAATAAATAATACATTTATTCTTCTTGATGGCAATGATACATTAAAAGCCAAAAGATGATTAATAAGAAACAAACAGTGGACAAGGCTATTTTATTAAATAATTTAAACAGTTCTTGTAAGTGCTCTCAGACAAATAATTCTTGTAATTAGAACTGAGGAGTAAATAAAAAACAACAGTAGTTTTATTTTTTAAAAGATAACCAGAAAGCTTGTTTTCAGTTCTATTGAACTTGCCATTATTTACTGAATTTCTTAAGGCATGGCTTCAATTACAAGATATCAATCAAGGACTAATCAAAATGCCATGTTTTTCCTGCACCCAGTGATGGCGCATACTGTAGTTCTGCAGAAAAGACAAAACTGCAGCACTCAGTACTTTCACTGGAGCTTGCTATACAGTAAAATGTGGAGAAATGCTCAGGACTTGGGACTGGAGGGTCGTGGGTCCAGATCCTAAGTGGGACACTGTCAGTGTACTCCAGAGTAAGGTCCTTCACTCAGACTGCTCCAGTAAATGTCCTGCTGTATGAATGGGGACTCTCCAGGCCCTCGCTGTCAGAAGGATCTTGATAAGCAAAGGATGGAGCAGAACATAGAGCAGCAAAGGGCGAGTGAAAACAACAGAGTCTGTGTTCGGTTTCTTCCGTAAATCAGGCAAAGTTACAAAATAAAACCTCCCTCCTTTATCTCCGACATCCAAATAATGAGAAGATACATGAAAGCCGATGATGACACCTAATCAAATGTGGGCTCCACCAACAATGGGACATTTCTATAGGAATTCCAGGAGCCTTGCGGGACTTTCTTTGAGCCCTTTCGATGCTTTATCTAATAGTCTGGCTTGTGTTGATAGTGGGGGGTTTGCAGATTAAAGCTGATTTCTTTAAGATGCCGAGGTCAAAATATCTGGCATAAGGCACTGAAGACATACAGGAAAAGATCTAGCACTTACACAGATGGGGCACGAAAGAGAGAAATCTACAGAACTGGGGTCCGTGGTCTTCAGGTCTCATGCAAGCATGTGTTGGCAGGTAGGGAATGTGGGGTCACTGTCCCAGCATTCCAATGCAACTGTGTCACTGCTCGCGGTCCAGTTCCACAGTGTCAAAGGGCAAAGAGACAGGAAGTTCAGAAACAGAACTGCTTACTGAGAAGAAGTTTTGTGTGACTGATATGTGTATATACTGTGTAATAGAGTGAATCACTACTGAGATTTCTTTAAAAGTGCACTGGCTGAGAATCTTAATTCTATGGTAAATCTTAAGGGAACACATTTTCAAGTTGAATTGGATAGTCTTTATGTGAATTTGTTTTTAAAAAGTATTTTTTTTCATACTTTTGTCTATGAAACAAGTACTTAATTTAAAATGCTTTTGAAAAAGTGTTATTAATATACTGCGTGAGTCAAAAAAGGAACTGAAACTAACAATATCAGTGCTGAACCTTTGGGAGATACAGGGCGTTGCTGTGGGATGTCACCCTCCTTCTTACTGTACATCAGACACTCCAATCTAGGAGTCCACTGGGAGACACTCAAGACCAAAGCACTTTAAAAAATATTTAGGAACAGAAAGAGGTTGCCTAGAGATAATTGCATAATTGATTTGCTATTGTTTAGAACTTAGATACATACTGTGTATGTTCAAAGAGTTAGATTTTTTCATTGATGCTACACTGTATATTTCCTACTAGTATTTTCAAACAAATGTCCACTATGACATTTGGCTGTACTTTTGTAAATGTCAGAGAATAGGTTATAGCAGCTAAAGGGTGTGAGCCATTGGAGATTCAATTGTAAAATTGTAAGACCAATATTTTGTTGCTGTGAGCAAAGCATAATTTACTTTTACTACATTCAAATAATACAGTAATATTCTTCAGGTAGTCCCTCGTTGTACCTGCAGTTAAGACTACATTGAAAGGCTTTCTTGTATTAACGATCCTGAAGTGGTAATCTGACAACAGTTAATTGGTTGTTGTCAGTTCTCATTGTTTAGGGGAATTAATCTGAAGCAATTTTTGAAATTACCAACATGTGACACTGGCACAGGGGTGTGGTGTTATTCTGAACAGCAGATTCTAGAAAGTGATGAACGGAAAACATCCTTTGCTAAGAGTCACCAAAGGCTTGTAGAAAAAAAAATTATCTTAATGTTACTGTCAGCAGTGCTAAGACACTCTGGCCTAACTAAAGCCCAGGCTGAGTAGGACTTGATGTGCTTTGACGGGATCAAATCACACCTGTGATGTCAGACACAGCCAATGAAAGTGCAGGTGCTGTCGTAGCCTGTGCGGTCTCCTGAGCGACAGGGCAGCCGCGCCACCACTGATCACCAGTACACATCCTCAGGCACTCGACAACATGGTGGAAGTGAAGATCTGCTGCAGGATGTGTGGGATCTGCTTGGTATCCATGGCAACAAACGATCGTCCGGCTGGCAGGGTTCTCTGGAGCCTGCGGGTGGAAGGAGAAGAAGTGCCCCCAACATTAAAATTGCAAATGATGCGGCCCGTAACTGGGCGGGGGGCGGGGAAAGAGAAAGTTTTTGCTCTTCGGTAGGTGGACAATGCACATCATTCATGCTAAGGCCTTTGTGTGATGAAAGGCCTTGGGAAAGCAGCCGTGGGGAAAGTGCCTGAAAGCCCGGTGTCACTGAGACCCCTTTCAGACACACAATTACTCTGTTTCTATAAGCCGCATTCATTACTGTCACTTGTTCGGCGGAGAGGAACGTATAAAAAAGTACGTCCTTAAATCACAGTGTCCATGAAAAGGCAAGAGTTAATGGAGCCTCTGCTTGAATGTATTCGCCATGAGAGGTGTACTTCCAGACAGTTCTGCTTAACAACATGGAACCTAATGCTTTATTTGTGTTCAAAATATTCAGTGGACATCTGTGCAATAAAAAAGAAAACACAAGAACATACTGCTTACCAGTCAGGATCTGATCTCTGTGAACTGCACAAAAATGACTTAATTATTGCATTTTTCAGCATCTGAAAAAATGCCCTAAACTGTGGAAGAACAAAACGCCTTCTATTTTAAGACACAGCTGGTGCCAAATTGGGGTTAAGTGCCTCCTTGCAGATTAACAAGGAATAATCACCAAGCAAGGTTTGTGTAAATATAATTTGAATTTGACAACAGCGAAAATGCACACAGGTCTTAAAGTGTGATTTGCAGCAACTAAAAGACCCGTGTCAAGTCTTACCCGAGCAAAGAAAAATGGAAGTAAGAAGTGCGATTCTTAGGAGTGATGCTGACTTGCCTTTCTGCCTGATCTCCCAGGGAGCCTATGAAGATGGCAAAGGCGTGGACTTGCGGGTTGCAGGTCAGCGCCTGTGCGAACCGATCCGGATTTATCCCATATCTCTCCAGGTTGGCGTCACTGAGGACCACCACAAAGTGCTCGTCGGCCTCCTCCCTGGCAATCTCTTTCACAGCGTGCTCCGTCCCTTCCAGAGTGTAGTCCCCACTCATGCAGAACTGGGAGTGGGCATGCATCGTCTGGAGGGAATATGGATTACGAAATACAAACGGGATAAATTCTTTAAGGTGTTAAAGATAGCTTTCCATTGATTATGTGGCAAGTTGTAGTTTTTGCCCTAAAAATAATATTCTAAACACTACAACCCTCTCTTATTTCCTAATCCTTTACTCTGAAAGTTACAAGGCATATCTTTTCTGATAAGAATGTTTTTTTTTCGTTTCTGTTTTGTAATCTTTGGAGTTTGTTCATATTTTAGCCGAGGACATAAATAGCATTAACACATCATATTGGTTATCTACGCTGAAAAGAATTCTTTCACTAACCAAATAATGTTGTGAAAACATCTTAGAATCCCACTGAAAGGTTGCTTTTCATTTTTGACTTACAGTATATTACTTTGAAGCTGCAATTGTGTTAAATAGAATAGTGACACATTCCATAGATCAGAATGTCCTTTTGAGACTGTAATTTCTATTAATCTGAAGTACTGCAGAATATGTGTACAAGACACAATGAAGCATGTACAGAATGTGACAAGCTCTGTGTGCAGCTGGGAAAAATGTGACTGTATTCTCTATAGTTTCTGTTGCTGAAAACTAAAGGTCATCTTTTTCAGCATAGCAGACTAGTTCATTTTAAGAATTAGCCTTTGAAGAACTCAGCTGTAAATTTACCTTGAGAACCTTTAATCTCTGTTTATCGTTCTTTGGAATCTTATTACACTTGACCAGCTCAATGTTGAAGCCATCGCCCGAATGTCCAACAATATCATACTGGAAAAAATACGAAACAAGAACATGGTCTGTCATCAAGAGAAGAGCTGATGTTCCAAACATATTGCTCAAAATTAGACGTGAAATACAACATAGAATTACAATTTATATGACTCGAACAGCATAAAATTCTTTGCCCATACTATCAATGCTAAAAAAACAGAGGACAGCTTCCTCTAACAGAGCCAAACCTTCTGAAAACCCCTTGTCTCTGATTCCCTGACTGTGGGCATACAGTCGCCTAATAACAATTAGATGACTGTTAAAGGTCAAACCACGTCAGGCCCTACACAGCCAGGGTTTTAGCTAGGTCAGTGTCTTAGCACTCTGACAGTAACATCGAGAGCATTTTAACTGCATTAGGAAAATTAATCCTTAAATCAGCCCAGCCTGTGAGTGCTGTCTCCCAAACATAATTAGTTACACATCTCTCAACAAGACCACATTTTGAAAGATTACACTTTAGCATACTTCACAGTACACTCAGCATCGTGCAGAAGACAGGAGACACTTTTTATTTAAAGCTCGCTTCCTTGTTAGCAGGTAAAAGCCAGTAAATTAATGTGATCACAGATTTTGATGAGTGTTATGTTTGTAGGATGGCATAAAAATAGCACAGACCACAGGTGTCCCTCTATTCCGGAAAGAAAATTTAGCTTTGGCGCTTGAAGTCTTTTTTACGTCCGAACAAATCTGTAAGGTTACTGCACAGAGAAACCCCAGCCATGTCTGATAAGGCTGTTCAAGGTCACTGGCAGCCGCCGTCTCTTCGCAGGCAGCAGCTTGACTTGGCGACTGGTACGGTGTCCTCAAGCCAGACTTTACAATGAGTCATAGGCGGCTCTGGGGCTCTTGTGTATCACGCCTGTCATGCTCAAGTTATCCGGTCTAAGGTGCAGTGGAGATGAACGTTTCCAACATGCTTTAGCACACAATATCGAAATAAATTTGCTGTGGCAATTGGGCCATGAGTCAAAGCAGTCAGAAAGATATTTTGTGAGAAGAGAAAAGAAACTTGCATGCACAATACCCCTGATGTACATTTTTTGATGTACATCAAAAATATTTATGAGACATGTATCTTACACATTCTCTATGTTAATTATTGTGGGTTTTTCATTTTATTTTTTAAAAATACTTTGCTAAAATGTTTTTTTTTAACTTTCTATACAAATATTTTGGATTTCTGAAATATTGTTTGATTTTGAAATAATGTTTTGAGTCCTCGAGCTGCGTAGGTTTTATTTGTAATCGACTGTATCACATTTACTCATGGCACAATACAAAATATCCTGTCAGGAAATGCTAGAGCTTTTGTCCAATGAACGAGCTGGCAAACTGGACTTGTCTCTGGCTGAGTCACTTGTTCCTCTCTCCAAGGCCCAGCTGTAAGAGGCGACGTCAGGAGACCAGCGGCTGCTCTGGTCTGGGCCCTGCCTGCCAGTGTTGCTCAGCGGCTAGTCTCAGTCAGCCCCCTCTTTCACCACAGGCTGTCTCCACGGCAACACTCAGAAACACACAGCCATCTCTCCCAAGGCTGCTTCACAGCACATCACTGCACAGCACAATGCCTGGGCGGGAGCTCTCTTGGTACTGTATCACCCCAGACCGGACCACGCTGCATGATGCAACAAAAGTGAAAACACTGGATTGTCATGGCTACTGTGATTCAAGGAAAATACAAAGTATTATTTTGGTAAACTGGAAGGGCTGAGGCTATCGGAACTATTAAAAAATAAAAGTTGGAAGCCAAAAAAAGTTAAAGCATTGTCATAGCATCTGTCAGCCCTTCAATTAAGTACAAATTGAGAGAGGGTATTAGCATTTATCTAGAGGACTTCACTATACAAATAACCCAGACTTACTAAACAAAATTCAAATTAAATAATTAGGATTAACTGTAAATTTGGTGTACTTCATAAACAGAAAGACAGTTAATAAGTAAATAAAGGGCCGTATCTCTGAAATGTTTCAGATTAGTTTACAGTTATCAAAAGGTAAACCTATCTACATTGTCCATGTTATGACTTCAACATCAGTCTCTTTTTCAGAAGTAGAAATAAAATACGAAGAGTTTCATAAATATAGCAAACTACTTTGATTTGCTTGTATGACACATCTTCTACAAAGCCCACTGCTTTTAAATCAAATCTACTTTCATTTTACTGCACATCTGTATCAACACAGCAGTTGCCAACAATGAATAATGTGGTCCACCACATTTGGTATCAATAAACAAACTAAAACAAGACTAAACTGTCGGACTTTATAGCTTATTCTAATTCCCACTGTGTAGTAATTAGCAATCATATTGTAAAAATTCATCAGCAAATGAAGCTCAAAACATCACTCCTGACACAAAAAATATTCCAAGACAGATTAATACAGCAAGTAGGTTAAACCGCGGGAAAACGTTCCTTGTTTGGTTTTCGGCTTTGATAGCTATATTATTTTCCTGTTGCTAACAACAAAACCTTTCAGAAATACACTTCTCCTCTCCAAGTGGTTGAGTAACCGGCCGTCAGAGAGAGAGTTAGTAACTGTCAGTTGGAGAATTGAGGTTTTGGTCCATGGTCTTCACATCTGACCCATGCAGTGGTCAGTCAGGACGGGCGGGCATCACCACGGTCACCTTGAACTTGTGCTCGTAGCTCTCCAGGGCCTCCATCACCATGCACACGGCCTCCATGGTCCTCTCCAGCCTCCCGTCCACCCCGTTGAAACGGTACATGCTTCCAGATATGTCCACCAGCAGCCGGAGGCGCTTCGGCTTCTGCTGGGGGGTTCCCAGCTGACACACACAAATGAAATGATAAAAGGCAGAGATGTAACAAATTACAGAGAAATGCTTTTTTTCTAATTAGTTCTACCCATTTTCTTCTGCTCCACATATACATAAACAGGGTTCTGTCAAGGGAATTTTCAACACATACTGTATTACAGTACTCTATATACCGCATATATATAAACGTTATTATTATATACATTCTCCTACCAAACTATTACTAATATTATTATAGACTTGGACATTCTGCCTAAAGAAAAGGGAATGACCAGTGTACGCAAATTATCCTGCGATTCCCGGGACTTGTGAAAGACTGCAAAACAGTAGCAGACCCAGCCTATTGAGCAGTGCTAAAGTAAAAAGATCAGGGCTGAACAAAAGAAGGCTGAGGTAAGTCACAGCCAGAAGGATCTTAATCATTGTTACACATGATGTTGTTCATTGCTGAAGGCAGCAGCAAACCTGGCTAATGCATCATCCTGCACAACCTCAAAAACCTTACAAGAGGTGGTTGGAAAATAGTAAACCACTACCTGGAAGGGCAATTCAGACTGCAAGAAGATACTACATCGCTACTAACCCTACATCGTATGCAGAGGTGCATCAACATGTCAACTACTGTTGGTTGCTGCTGACAATTGCAAACATCAAGTAAAATCAAAGCAGCAGCATTTACTGCTGGAGGAGAACTGAACTGCTATAACAGGTGAGGTACCTATAATTCTCCTCTCTAATAAATAGTGATAAGCCAGCTATATCAAACCAAGGTGACTTTAAAATTCTCAAAGAGTAAAATATCTAGTGGTTTAAGCAATTCTTTCTTTAAACTCCACAAATGCCAAAACGCATTTAATATTCCTTCTTAAAACATAATAATAATAATGATAATAATAATAATAATAAGGTGTAATAAGGTCTGAAAAACATTAAAATATGTCTTGATTCTCTCTTCTACTGTCTGCTTTATTAAACGAATAACTCGAATTTAGTGTCGTATGACGCACAAAATCTGTGTAAAAAAGATTCCAGGTGCACTGCTGGTAGTACATGGGAACATTCTCTCTAACAACGCTCCTAACGAGGAAAATTGGGTACACCACAAACTCTGTCATTTCTTGCCGAGCTTTAACAACATAGTAATTTTGCACTGTATGTAATTAACAGAAATTTGCCATGTAAGAAAATCTTTGACACATTTGAGAAATCATGTAATGGGAAATTGAACAGTTTTCAAGAAACACAGCACAGAGAAAATGTAGCATTTGTAACAACCTATCATATCCATATACAAATTAATTATACAATATAATGTACTAATAAACTCATATTTAACATTTCACATTTCAAATGTATATTTTACAATTTACATCTTTCTATGAAAATCCTATTTTTGTTAAGAGTTCCATTAAATCAATCTAAATACTAAAACATGTCATTATACAAAAATAGTCCTTTTACTGTGAATGCACTCCATAGGTGAGCTAAATCACAACAGCAGTACAAAATATTTTATAGGTCTTATTCTCCATGGTAAAAGACACTCCAAATACGGTCTCCTGCTGACAGATGATATTGTTGTTCAGCGCTGTAATCTGAATCAATGCAATAAGAGACTGATTTGGGCTTCTCCAACACTCAAAAGATGTGTAAAAATAAACTTTATGAATCCATTCCTTGTACTCGAAGCACAGGAAATATCACTCTTTGAAGTCACAATAATTCATATCCAGATGTCACTTTGTTTCAAATGTAGGACTTATACTGCATTTAAGTAAGTTTCGGTCTACATAAAGTCTATGAAAGGTCAGATCAAATCAAGAACTTCCATTTAAAATGAAAGGTTACCATACACATTGCTATGGCAAAGCATGCGTTTCTTTTTGTAATTGATTTCACTATTTTCCATTCAAGTGGTCTTGACCTTTCCAGTTTTATGTTACAACTACAGCACATACACTAAATAAGACCACTTCCATAGTTTAATTTAGGGTATTACTGGGGCCTGTTATGGATTTTCATCTGTGAAAGCTGTCCACGGATCTGCTGCTCCTCTTGTCCAGAGTAAGAAGCAATATTTGAAGACTTACTTTCATCTACAGTATCAGTGGAATTCAGGTTAGTACTCGTTCATGATCATGGTGTGATCAATAGTATCTCATTGAAAAATAGGCAAATATACCCAGGAAGGCCAGATTAACACAGTACAGGAAAATGAAAGGTGATGAACTCCGTATAAAGACGAAAATATTTTGACACAGCTCAACTTTCACATTACAGAAGAGACAAAGCTCTTCTTCAGGGTTCATTTCCTCCAACTCAAGCTCACCTCTGGCTCCAGCTCTCCCCGGCGCTTGTAGATGGCTTTTTCCCCCGTCAAACCATCAATGATTTTGGCATCGTCTAGTTCTCCCAGGGCCTGGTTCTTTAGCCACTGCCGTTCTTTTCCTTTGGCCTACAGACCATAAAAAAGAAACATTTATTGTTTTCTCCAGAGAGGACTCCTGCCTCAGGCTATTCCAGGAACCGACTCTTGTACTAATCTGGTTAAATGGTCACTAATTATACTACCTTTGCCTTTCACTACATTCATTTAAACAAGATTTATACTAACAAAGAAGTTGTCTGAAGGCCAGCAAGAAATTAAAACAGATGGGATTAATGTAAACCTAGTGCTGGCAGCGGATGGGCCATCACTCAACCCACTGAGCTCCTAAGCGGCACTGATTACGTGTTCCTGAGGTAATACAGTATGAACAAAAATATAATTTACTGTATAATTACACACTTTCTACTAACCAAAACATGAAATTTGATTATTTTAATGGTTATCTGAATTTCAGTTCAAAACTGTCCAGTTATTGTGTAAGAGAGCAACGGGGGAAAGGTTTTACTGCTCAAAGTAAAGCAATATAATTTGCGCGGCTGATAGCCTGGGAATACGAGCTGCACAGCTTTACCAGCTTCTAGTCTGATATTCTCAGATCCCAGAAGCTGAACAGTTCCAAACTCAATGGTCCACAATAGTGACAGAGAGTGCTATACTGTAGTTGGCATGCTTTGGATAAGACTACTTGGTCATTAAAGATCTTGTAAGAATTGGGGTGCTAATCACAGTATCCTGGCTAAATTTCACTCTGGGTTTGGAAAATGAGGTGGAACTAACACTATTTATCAATCTGATTCTACCTAATCTGCTACTGGTAAACTATGGCTGCTGTATGTGGTGGATAAAATGGATCTCCTCCTGTAAAGTGCTTTTGGACAATTGTGATGGCATGTGACATATAACTGCAATTAATACTTTAAATAATCATTAAAAAGTAACACTAGGAAGACTTGATAAACATGCAGTACAATCATTTGAAAAATGAAACCCAGTGAATCGGGAATACAAAGGTAGAAGACAAGTGATTAAAATAAACAAAACCTTAGGGGAACCAAAGTTAATATTCAGTTCTGTAGCTCTTTTACTACTGTTGCTCCAACTAAAAAGAAGATATATAAATTCCTAAAAGACTCACAGCTCTTCTGCGAGTTCTTTCTCAGGTTTTCCTGAGAACATACTGTAAGAAAGGTTATGAGCGAGAAAGTCTGTTTGGACTCCATTGCCCATTTGGAAGTTAGCAGTTAATTGGCCTAAGGATTTCATCCAGCTGTTTCTTGAAAGATGTCAAGTTATCAGCTTGGACGATATGGCTGGGTAGCTTGCCTCACACTCCCAAAACACTTTTCCAGAAAGACGTGCCACATGTTCTTGCTTTGAAATGCACTTCATAGTTTCCACTTGTGTCCCCTGGTTTGTGTTTCACTGTCCACAGTATTGTTCAGTTTGCCAGGAACATGTGACAACACTGCAGAGCGTCATCTCAGGTAATCATAGCTTTGGTGAGGACAACCTTGTGCCAGAAAACCATACTTGTTCTTCACACCCTGCCTTGGCATAGTTCTCAGGGAAAAGGAAATGTAAACATGAGACTGGTGACTGATTAGAAACACTTACATACTGTAAGGCTGTTTAACCTTGTTTAAATGAACCGAATCACCTTCCATACTGATGCCTTTAGGAAAAATGTCTTTAACATGTCGCCACACCTACATTGTACTGTATTCAATCAAAGTGACAATACTGCACAGCATGGAGAATGTTGGAGTCCTGTTCAGGCACTTTGCCTGGGAATCATCAATTCAACAGAAGTTAAATAAACTTTGAGCAGGGAGGACGAGCCCTGCAGTAGATTCCAGGATATTTAATTGAATTAAGACTTTTTTTTTCAGTTCATTTGAGCGACATGCACAAATGAAAGTCAAATTCACAAACTAAACAGGTTTAATGTGAAAATATCAAATTCCATAGCACTGCTTTAAAAAATACTTTTTTTAAAGCTTTTTATATAATAGAGTTCAACTGCAGTCAATACCACAGCCAGTAAAAATGCCTAAAGGCTCTTATACACACTGAAAGTATTGTGAAAGGTTTGTGTTTAATACTTTTTGATCATAGTCTGTAAATCAGAACACAAGGAAATCAGATGTGTAATATCTTGCCATTTGACCACTTTTTCTCTTGAACTTTTGTTGATTTGCTTCATGTCTGCTGAATATCTCATCTTTTTAAGAAGATGATTTTGGAATAGAATGGATTTTTTTAAATTTTATTTTATCAAACTGACAAAACAAATTACAAACATGGAGCCTAAAAGAGAAAGTAAAGTCCTACAAGAACTTTATTAAAACAAACACAAAACCCAATAAAAAAGGTTGTGTGAAAGTGATATTAATGGGCAGGAAGGCACTAGATGTGATTAGGTGAATTTGCAGGAAGAATAATGTACCAAAGCAACTTCGCTTTCTGCAGTAAATTAAAGAAAATCTACTTTACTCTCTTAAAACTAATATGCTGTTGTTCAAAAGCAATACTAAAAGCCCTCTTTTTTCAGTGCATCCCACCTGCTGCATGTATGGAAGTTTTTTGTTGTAAGCAAATGCTCACATAACAAAGATTTCAGATGTTTCAATGTTTTTTGCATCTTTCTCCACTAATGGTCCCGTGGTTCAATTCTGCCCTCATAGCAATCTGTCAGCTTACACATCAGATGTTTACCAAAGAGTAACACCAGGTCCTCTGTCCTGCAGCCTGACTCCCATGACCAAACCCCAGCCAAACCCAACCTGTTCAGTGAAAGGCAAAACCTACACTGGCTGCAGTTGCACCTTCTTCTTCTAACTCCAGTGGGCTTACAATCGCACCCTTAGGAGACAGCCAGCAGAGCTGGGCTATCCAGTTTTCAGTCTCCTGCTCAATTGCGTCTCAAAACATTAGGCCATGCTTACAGGGTCAGTGGAAAAACGTTCTCCAACAAACTTAATAAAATCGAAACACCTGACACCGCATACATGTAAATTACAGGGCTGTCTCTCTTTTTCATTCCATCTCAAATTGTTCACACATTGCTGGCAAATGGAACTACATTTTTTTTAACAAAACAAGAACATGAACAGAAACAAAACAGCCATGGAAATGTGGTACTTATTCTTCCACTGCTTTTAATCTGACAAATTCCCATGACTGAGCTTGACAATCTGTGACACAGGAGCCTCATCTAAAGACACTTAGATGAAAATTACTTCAAATCTTTAAGGCCACCGATAAATGTAAATGAGCTCTTTAAGTCTTTGAAAATAACTCCTTGATACCTTTTCTGCACTTCTCAATAATTAAAGGCCATTTTTCCAAAAATGTCAAAGAGCAGAATTTCACCCTGCAGAACTGATTATAGAGCATTACTCTCCGAAATACATCATTTGACACCCCATGGCTACAAGGGGTCTTGCAAAGGAAAACCCCCTGAAAACATTTTTCCCTTTGAATTTCTTATCTGTTTTGAAAACTAAGGAGAGGTGGCCCAAGTGTTGGGGTGAAGTGATGTCAGCTAGTACTGGGCAAGTGTGACAGGGAGATTTGATGGTAGTGCTTTATGTGTGTTTGAAACAAGAAGTGTGAGTAAAAATTCAACACCCCAACACTTTGTGACAAAAATGAGAATCACATAAGCTTCACCTTACGTTTTAGCTTTCTGAAGTGCGGTGCTTCTGTACCCAAGACACATTAAATCAAAGCTACCTTTCAATGTCTCCCAGAGAAAAATGCAGAGGTGCTTTATTCTTTTTAACTCTATCCTGCCAAAGCAGTAGAGCGAGCTGGACCACACACAGAGCACAGTGCCACCAGTCTTGTGTACTTCCCTACCTGGTTGCCACCAAGCAGGTCTGTAGAACAGAAAGCCATTGTTCCCCAAAGTAAACCGGCATAGTTACTTTAATAAAATTTTTCAACTGAAAATTAGATATACATTGATTTAAATACATAAGCAATATAAACCGGGTTCAACTTTTTACAATTTAAGATTTAAGGTATATTCAAGCTCGTAAGTAATGCTATACCCAAACTGGGGGCCCTCAGGCCGAAATCTATTGAGAATCAGTCAAGGGTTCCTTCTTCTCTAAAGGCTGATTGATTCTAACTCCTGTTTTCCCATAAAATCCCCACCCATATCTCAGAGTTTAATCCTACTTGGGAGACCTGGCAGTTGCATACAATGTCAGGTAATCGCCTTTCAGACCACTCCAATGTAAACAATAAAACACCTGGAGGGTGACCTCCTCTTTACTCCAGTGTGATTCAGCTCCGTTGTCCCAGTTCTGTAGCCTTCCCCTCAAGAGGACAGCACTGTTCCTTCAAAGCTCATTCGTTAACATCTGTCATGGGATTCTGACACACACACAACCATTATTCAATGACAAGTAGATGCATGCGAAAAATCTACACAACAAACAACAAGGCCGAGCACAACATGACCAGCGCCAACACAAACTGTGACTTTTACAGGAAGCTGCCACGTTTTGTCAATGAATAAGAACAGTCCAGGTTACAAATCTGAACTTCTATTACTGAATATTGAACAGAGTACACATTTTACAACTGAAGCATGTTTAAATGAAAAGCACAACAGCTACTGCATCCAGACGGAATTACCTGGAGACTGTCCAGGATGATTCGTAGAGACTGGACTTGTCGTCTGACAGCTCCAGAAAATCTTTCGTAAGTGGCTGCGTCATATTCACTCATCTCAATTTCCTTTAATCTGAAAGATCAGTAAACAAGAATGTTACACAGAGGACAGGGGTAAATATTTGGGTACAAAATGATGTGTGCACTATATTGGTGGATACACTTTTATAAGAGGCTGCTTCATGGTTAAAGAATTGATTCAATACCTGTAAAGATCTGTGGCTGCATTCATCTGCAGGTGTTCTGCGCTGTACTTCCAAAGGTAAATAAGCCACTGCTTGCACAAGAAGCGAATGATTCATTGCTGAACCTCAGCCAGCCTGGTAACCGGTCCACTGTGTATACAAGTGCTCCCCCTCATCATTCTTTCTTTGCACAGCTCGTGTTGTGACTGTCACTTTGACAGCCTGAGCATTGAACAATAAAGTACATGGCAAGCTTCTTCCAATTAGAGAAATAATACCTCCATTATGTCACTAATACTCACCCACAACATATACAAACCACACAAGTAAAGACAGGAATTCTTCCTAAGGAGTACAGTTGTCTAATCCTTCAAATCTCCACTGCAAGATGAGAATAATTTTTTTTTGTTGACAAAGTGAAGCTTTTTTTTCAGTTCTAGGATAACGACAAAACGTCCAGTGAACTTTCCCTTAAATTCTGAGAATCTACTGCCTTACACAGTACCATTCAAGACAATAGCATTATGAAAGCTTAGTCTGCTCCTGCTCTGTATTAAAAAGCACTTCAAATGATTCAAATGAAATCTGCTTTTAAAAAAGTGATACATGCCAAAAGTTGCCAAACAGGGGCACGGCTACTGTATATAATATACTGTAGGTGAAAGCCAAGTAAGTCAGCATATAATAAGGGAAAAGTCTTGCTTTGCTTGTCTCGTTGATTCAAATTTCATACAGTCTGTTCTGATCAGATTATTCTGTGAATCATCCCTCATGATATAACAATTGAGACGGTGCCTACTCAGAACAGACATCAGAGATTTCACAACATTCATCTTCGCAAAGCATATGATGTACTATTTTGATTCCTCAACAATGCAGCCATGCATTTTTCTCTTTTTTTCTGACTGTAGACAAAACAGGCTGCCTCTAGGTTTTCAGTGGGTTCCAGCTGTTTCCAAAGGCCCACCTACTGAAGAAAGAGCTTGGTCTGGCTTTCAGAACAACAGGCAAAGCCCAGGGACCATTCTCAATAACTCCAGACCTGCCACTGGACCACAATGCTTTCAACACAGGGCTCTTTGTAACCCTGTGGCGAGCACATTCAAGAAGGGTGCTATGAATTCTGGAAGTATTCAACTCAACTCACATATAGTACTCTATAAAGAAGTATAATAGAATTATACAATGATTCTTTTTTTAAATCAGGCTTTTAAGACTGTATCAGAAACATTAACATTAAAATCCTGACTGGAGTCATGTCCAAATATGTGCTAAAACTACCACACAATTATAAAACTGTAAAACAAATAATAACACAATCATACAAGTCAAATGAGACGGAGTAACTTTGGAAGGTTTTATAAGACAGGCTGAGTAAGAGATGAATAATACCTAGGTATGCCTCACTGTATGGAATGCTCCTGAGGTACAGTACTTCTGAAGGTTATCTTCTTTGCCAACTCTTTGGTTTGTCTTATCTTATCTTTCCTCCTGCTTTTTTTCTTTTCCAAAAACAGTAAATATTTAAACATCCTACTGTATATCAGCTACTTAAGAAGGTCAGTATCCAGGCAAAGCAATACATTTAAAAAACATATTTTCTTATAGGTTATTAAGTCATGTCTTTTAAGATCACATGTACATCTTGTGTTCTCGGCTGCTTCTGAAAACCTTTCAGTCCACCCTGAGCAAGAAACCTCAAAATGAAGATAAGATCAGATTTCCTCAAAAATGTCTCTGTCACTGTCCCCTATCATGGATTGATTATTCAGAAATCCCATGAAAATGACAAAGGCACTTAATGACCCACATGCATGAACTATTACTGAATAATTTTATTAAAGTAATTTTACGAATGTGCTTTTTTTAAGTAAGGAAAGCCTTGTTTGAGAAACCTACTAAGCTGTGTAAAAAATGGCCTAATTAAATTTAATTTAGCAAATCAGCACAGCTGATGTTTGTGATGTGACGGTGTGGAAAAAAGTTGTTTTTGTTCCTGTAAATAACGCAGGTGACAGTGGTTTGAAACAGCAGGATGTGTGGAAATTCTTCTCATGGTGCACTGTTAATGGAAGCAGTGTTGGAGCTCAGTGCGGGTGCTGTGCTTTGCAGGAAACAGCCTGCGCTCTGTGTACAGGAAGCTTGTCAAAGAACTGAGAGGCCCGGCCTGTTCAGAGAACAGAGGCGGCCTTCATCGCTCTGAAATGAGGCTGCTTTCAGACTCTTTTACAATCCAGTGCTTGAAAATCTATCAGCATGAATGACATCATTCATAACTCATATTGTCACACATACTTGGGATGACAACATGCATAAGTGACTTGAATAAAAGGTAACAAAGTTCCCTCCGGCCATCATAATTTGCTGGCCACTTCGATACATTAAAGACGTATCTGTTCTTTAAGCCCCTCATATTTCACTGAGAGAAGGAAAAACATTGTGTATAGCATATTGTGTTCAGGTTTGGGAAAACACAATTGTATTGTTGGAATAATTTACAACAAGTTCAATGCTGCAAAACGAATGAACTAGCAAGATGGTGTGAAAAAACGTTTTTCACTGTCAGTCTTTCAGTTTCCTCAATAACAATACAAATAGTGGTTCGGTTAAACAGTCCTGTTCCGGAGACAAGACAGTCCCTGTTTCATTTCTTGAATCTTGTCTGTTTAGATGGGATGAACGGGCCCCTCTTGTTTGTAGCCATTTTTATATTTTAACCATTTTTTATGAGAGGTGTTCCAAAAACAATAAAATGAGCAGGATGCAAAGTCTCTGCTCCATACTCATTTATTATATCTGGTAACATTTCTGCACAAAAAGTCTTCATTGTGATTGCCCCTTATTGTACAAGACCTCTAACGTCTCAGGTGCGCATTATTTTCTCCTTTTTCAAATGGAAAGGTTTGTATCCAAAACTGCCTAACCTGGTGCAGGACAGAAACAGGAGAAATGAAAGAAACCCAAGGAGACCATACAAACTCCAGATGCTGTAGAAAGAACCCCAGGAATTGAACCCTGGGCCTCAGCGCTGAGAGGCAGCAATGCTCTCCACTGCGCCAGCGTGCCGAGTCTGAGTTTGAACTGTATTCACGTCAGTGCTGGGGGAAAGAAAGACACATGTGCAAGCTGTGAAGCTCTGTGGATTTTGGCACTCGCGTGTGGGAAATGTGCCTTCTCCACAAACAGTACCTCTCTTTGAAGGCCTTCTCCGCCATTTCTCTGGCTGCTCTTTTCACCTCCTCGGGAACAGCGTCCTTCTCCGCCTGGGACACTTGACGAACCTTGTGCCCAGCGTCGAGGCGGTAGGGGCCTCCCTTCCCACCCAGACCAGCTGTGTCTCTGCCTCCTGCAGGACAAGGAAAAAAGCAAAGAAAGACCATGAGAACAGTTCCAAACAAGCGGAGGCCATTTGTCCCCACCAGATCGCAACCAGCTGCTTCACGGAATAGGACAAGGGTAACGACTTTTGGGTAAAGAAGTGCCTCCTGTTTTGGGTTTTAAATACAGTTCTATGCAGTTTCCACTTGTGTCCTGTGGTTCGTGCTTCACAGGTCACTCTGAGTCGAGTCCGTCAGAGCCTTGGAGGATTTTGAACGCCTGTATCGGTTAACCTTGTAGTCTTCTCTGCTCAAGAATATATAGGTTCAGTTTCTTTAGCCTGTCAGTGTAGGATGCCAAGGCTGTCCGGGATACTTTTTATTATGGTTTTTCTGAGAGAATGTTAGAACAACCAAACAGTTTTGAGACAGTACAAAACAGTCTTACTACTGTACAACAGTGATCATCCAGAAACCTTACTTCAATAACGTAAGCAGTGTACATACCCATCAATCTTACCATCTTCATAATGTTTCCTTGCTCATTAATTTAGTGGTGTGCTTCTATTCGTTATGCTAAAAAAATGTAAATTTCATGGACAGGAAAAGACACAATCGCAATTTTAGGCTGCATGTTAAAATTACCTACATTTTAGATCACACGAGGAATACAAATTCAAAAGCTTAGAAGGGACTACTCACCTGTTCCCCCTGCCCACATATTTCCACCAACATGTGGCATGTTGTCAGGGTCTGTCTTGCCATGTTTAGGAGAACTCACATCTAAGCCATTGTCCCGCTGAACTGTAATCTGAAACAGGAAATCAAACCCGGATAAGTCAGACGTATTCTGGGGCGGAGCGGTGGCTCTGTGGCTAAGGATCTGCACCTGTGACTGGAAGGTTCCCGGATCGAATCTCGTGGCCAGCAGGGGAATCCTACTCCGTTAGGCCCCTCAGCAAGACCCTTAACTGCTCCAGGGGTGCCCTACAATAGCTGACCCTGCGCTCTGACCCCAGGCTTCTCTCCATGTCTGTGTCTCATGGAGAAAAGCTGGGGTATGCGAAAAGACAAATTCCTAATGCAAGAAATTGTATAGGGCTAATAAAGAAACATTAACATTAAATTATTTTAACATTCTCTGTATATAGTTTTTATTGAAAATTTGAGATGACATCATCCCAATCCTGCAAGAGCAGGATCTGGAAGGACTGGGGGGAAGTTGCCGACATTGCTGGACTAGTCCAGACCCTGGCCCTGGTGGAAACGTGGAATCCTGGTCAGAATCTGCTAGTGGCACAACGAAGGCTTGAGCATCTTGAGTGTGTGTATCAATCCATGTTTATGTTATGGCCTTTGCAAGAGAATGAATGTTTTGGGGTTTACAAATGAATATAAACTATTTTGTTCATGAAAATGAGGATGCTCATCTTGTGTTTTAAATGATGACCCAGATGTCCCTATGATATGCTTGGAAAGTATTCATCCCCAACCAATAATATCACAGGTTATATCTGCTATATACTGTAAATACATTTAAAGAAAAACATTTAGTTATTTTCCAAAGGTACTGCTTATGTTTTAAACTGCAATGATTAAACTGAACACTCTTGTATGTGAAGGGAGGTTGAATGTTACAAAAATCTGCAAAGATATACAAAATTACATTTACTACTTGCTTAAGTCAATACTTCGTGGAAACACTTTTGGCAGCTATTACTGCTCTAAATATTTTGGATAGGTCTCTACCAGCTTTGCACAGTGGGATAGTATAATCTTTACCCTTTCTTCCTCTCAAAGATTTTGACAAGTTTGTTGGGGAGTCCTGCTGATCTGATTTAAGTCTGGATAACCGTAGCATATTACTTCTCTTGTTCTCAATCCTCTCAAGTGTGGCTCTGACCTGCACTTTGGGGCCTTATCCTGCCCAGATGTGAATTTTAAACCCAGTTTTAGGTTCTTGGGTGACTCTAGAAGATTTCCCTATCCCTAACATTTCCCTATAAATCATCACTCCAGACGCTTCTAATCACACAGTCCCTGCTGTTGAGACGCAACAGCACTACACATAAGATTGGCACTGCAATGCTTGAAAGTTGGGTGGTGTACTGCATTAGACTTGCAAACAGATGAAATATGATGCATGCAGACCAAAATGTTCAATTTTTGCATTTTTCAAGCATAAAACCATCACATGTCTGCTGAGTATCTGCCATATATGCCATATTTAAGATGAGTCAGAAAGTGGCTTCTTTCTTACCAGTCACTTACAGAGATGAAGTTTGTGTAGGAACAGGGATATAGTAAAAGTACGAACAGATCATTTCAGACAGTAAAACTAACTTTTATTACAGTAAAAGTAAAATTTTTCAATGCCACTGTTGGCTTCACCCCTATCAAGTTTCCTGCTTACCTTTCTGCTCAGTTTTGAAGAGTGCCCTGATCTGGGTGGTATGATGCATACTGTATAATCTCAGTAACAAAATAAATTAATTGACAGTATCATAAAATTTGACACATTTTGAATTAACTGCAATATCATGAACTTTGTGAAAGTACTGCATTGTCACCATGCTGTCGCAAACCACTGGTCTCAACATGGGCAAGAGCGAGAGTTTGCAAGAATTGTGATTTGAAAGAGGTCCTTCCTGCTCAATAGTTGCTGTAAGCAAATGAGACACATGGTCCCCTAAAAATGATAATCCTGTTTCCTTTTTGAACACACATATATTTTAAATGATGCCTCACTGTTGAGCATTTGGATGTTCAAAACAAAGGATTGTATCAGCAGAAAGTCAAACTATACAACTAGCCAAGAGAGTAACAAACATGGGCGCTGATGTTGGTCTTGTTTGCAAGTTTCTTGATGAGATTCTGCGTGATATATGATGGAAGAAGTACAGGTTGCGCAGCAGACATTTCACCTAAGAAATGTTAAAACATGAGTAGGCAGTATTACAAGTAGTATTTATAGGCAAAACTGTCTCAAAGTCTTCAATTGCATTCATTCAAATCAGCTGTTCTTGCGATGACACAGGAGGCCGTCCTCCAAATATATAAGCCCTGATAGAATTTTCTTTCAGGTGTGTTTTATCATAAAATAACCACCTTCAAACGTTTTGCAGAACTTCAAAATGAATATAGGTGTATCTTAGTTCATTGGCAGGGTTACTTTTCATTACTTAAAGTATCTACAAAATGCTGTCTCGTATACAGTATGTCGGTTTCATGAAAATATTTTAAAAAATAATACAGTAGCAAAATTTGCTTGGTCTAAAGCATGTTTACCTTGTCATAGGGCCTCTTTTGCATCACCAGTGGTTTTGTTAACTCGTTCTGAATCGCAGACAATGTGACACTACTCATGAACTGAAACTTTGACTCTTTTGTGCTGCAAATTGGAGGTACACGTTATCATGTACTTAGCATTTTCATTGTAGTCTGAAGTGCACCCATTATTGTCAATTCATTATAACCCCTAAATGTAAAAATAGCCTTGCAGTTCCCCTTTCCTGATTGACTTCAGTCGCAATACTTAAAGGGATAAGTAAACTTCATCTCAACTGTGCCTCTCTCCTACTTCATCCTTGACTTGTTTCAAAAGCTTCTTGGTCTTCATGATTGTTTTCTTTTTTGCACTGCTATGTGAGTTGTGGCTTGAAATTCAATCTCTGTTAGAGGGAATTTACAGAGACAAATGAATTTACGCTGACGTCATTAAAGCTAAACCACTTCAATTACACAGACATTGAGACCTGTCATTAATTTGTGTGATCTTTCAAACTATTCTTCCGCACCTGAAGTGATTAAGACCTCCTTTTCCAATGGAGCTGAATACATACGAAGTTTAGAATCTTCTAATTTTTAGTTTATTTTGGAGTAGTGTGTAAATTCTAAATATCTGAAAGTGCCATGATGGCATGGTCAGATAGCAGCAAACCTATGCAGGGGGTGAATAATTCTGAAAGAGATCGTATGCGCAGCATCTTTATGTATCCATTTAATTAACTTTTCATTTTCACAATTTAAAATATATTAAAAAACACAAATAAAACAATACTTATGCAGGGGCTTACAATTGTAGCTGATTTAAAGAATTCAGTTTCTCACAATTGCATCTATACTATACTTTACTATAATGCATTTTTTACTATACTATACTGTACGTTTGTTTATACTATACTTTTATTACAATTCCAAGAGTTATACGAGTTAGAAAACTCATGTAAGATATAGTACGATATGCTCCTACTACATCTTACATGAGTTTTCTAACCACTCAAATTTATTTTAATAAACATTTTTACATTTTTTAAAGGTACTTTGCACAGAAAGTGATTTTACTGGTATTGAACATCAAGTATTCACACTCAAACTAAAGTACAGAAGGCGCAAGTGATAAAACAAAATAGTGAGATAAGCTGTGAGTTATTTACCCGAAGGCTAAATTTTTGGATTTGGCAGTGAATGTTCGCAGGGCAGTTAAGCTGTCTACTGAAGTTACCGAGGGAATTGTGGTCTCATCTACCTGCACCAACACTTCAACTCGTAAACAAACTCCACATGTACACAGGCAACACAAAGAATGTTTTCAGCCCGTAATGAACCATTGAGTTGAGTCTTTCTTTGTAACATAATGATACTTTATCACTTGACGGCTGGAACAGCCTGCAGCTATTGATGACTGATTCAAATTTTCCAAACCATAGCCGTGCCAGAGACCCTAGTAAGTAGGATGTGGGATGTGTGGGTTATGATACGTTGTCTTGTACTCAGTTGTGCATTGCCATCAGAATTAAATCTCTTCATTCAGGCTTGGGAATAAAAAAAAGTGAATACATTTCAAGGAAAACAAGGAGCTTTTCATTTTTTTGTGGCTATAAATATATTTTGGAGGTCGTATGTTAGTATGTGAAGATCTGCCTTAAAAAGCTGTAATTCTTCAGGCCTCCATTAATTGGCCTATTTCATGACCTGAAAGTGCTAATTTAATTTGCTAGCTGTACCTTATAGCTATTTATACTGCAAACATAGTACTGCAAAAATAGTATTGCTAAGTGAAACAACACAAATAGATATACTGCCACAGCAAATACCTACTTTATGATGACTCATGATCTCCTTTTAAGGCTGCACTCATGTGCATAAAATTTAATTGATTAGTATTTTACTGCCTCTTGCTATGCATGCTCACTTTTAATATTACAAAGACTTTGATCCAGATAACAAGTATAAACACGGAGCTGTGAAGATGCTACTTCAGAAAACTGATCCTTACAAATTGGTTTCATTTTGAGGAGAAGAGAACTCCACGCCATGCTTGGAAGATGTCCTTGTCTGTCAACCAGTAGGTCAAGTTACACGTCTAAGGCGTTACAATCACGGTGTGAACAAAAGAAGCCTTAGCCCAATTAACGGAAAGTTATAATGACACTTTTAACAAGAAATCACATGCTAGTTTCACATGCCAGTCTCACACAGTCGGGCACAGATTGGATGACACACTTTACTTTCTTACACTCTGTTCACTCTCAAATTATAAGATCCTGACAAAGGCTTGTGTTGACAAGTTCTAATAAAAAACACCAGTTCAAATGGAGCAGAGAGAGTGTGCATTCAGTTCATCCTATTACTTGATATGTAATATTATCTATCAATCCATTTTCTGACCCTTTCTTCCAATTTGGGGTTGTGGGGCAGCTGGAGACAATCCTGGTAAGCAACGGGTGCTCTGCAGGGCGCACCCTGGACAGGACACCAGTCCCTCGCAGGGCAGACACAAAAGCACAGACACGCGCACACTAGGGCCGA